ATCCATGCTTTTGTTCCGGCCCTCCGGTCCAGTTTAAGAACCCATTGTGGCCTTCGAGTCAAAAAGTTTGCCCACCCCTAAGCTAGGGACTGTCATTGAACAGGTGACTGCAGTAAAAATGGTTGATTTATCCAAGACATAGAAGCCATATGTGAGCTAAATGTAAGAACTCTGACATAAAAACATAGGGTTAATTCTTCATGATCTTGGATTTTACAATAGTTTGAACTATGACAGCAACACAAAAACAGAGAAAGGTTAAATACCTCATCATCAAAATGTATGCTCTGGCCCTGACCGGTTTGGCTATATTTGGCTCAGCGGATAGAGTGTCGGCCTGCGGACTGAAGGGTCACAGGTTCAATTCCAGTCAAGGGCATGTATCTTGGTAGCAGGCACATCCCCAGTAGGGGGTGTGCAGGAGGCGGCTGTTCAATGTTTCTAACTCTCTATCCCTTCCTCTCTGTAAAAAAATCAAGAAAATATATATATTTAAAAAATGTATGCTCTGTGCAAAGACTCTAGCACCACGGGGAAAATACAGACTATCGGATGAGTAAAAGTGATTTTAAGTCACAGGTCTTGAAGCATCTGTATCCCTATTTCCCCAAGTCAACAAACAAAATACAAAGATCCCAGATGGGAAAGACCAACCTCTGCCTTCATGTGCACCAATATTTGCTTTATATACTCAGGTCCTCCTACTTTGCATCCACAAATGTTTACAAGGGTTTTATACTCTTGATGAGTTGATCCCTTTAGCATTAGGAATTATCCCTCCATTATTATGGCCTCTCTTTCAAAGTATATATTTTATCTGACATTAGGATTGCAACCACAGCATTTAAAAAATTTGATTTCCATGAAATCACTTGTTTTACCCTCCAAAGACAGTTTTTTCCTGTATTGGACTTCCAAATTTTATAAAGAGACTGTAAAGCCATCAATTAAGTGGTTCCCATAAAAGAAAGGCATGTTTATCTGAGTTTCCCAGCAGGCCTGCTCTGACCTGCTCCAGCTCCTTCCTCTATGCATTGAAACACTGTTACGTGCTGACTTCACTAAAAGTCAGAGCTTCCACATGGGTCAGCTAACTCTGAGCACGGTTGTTCTCATGCCTATTAAATGTACACCGTCCAGGATTAGAGCTCTCACCAGAGCAACATTCTCTGCAAAGTAGTTTCTTTGGGGCCCGAAGGTAGAGATGAAATAACTTTTTTCCAACCCTTTACTTTCATGCTGTTTTTTTCATCTGAAGTGGGTGCCATGTAGACAGCATATGTAAAGATCTTCTTTCCCTATCCATTCAGATACCCTGTGTCTTCTGGTTGAAGCAATGAAACCATTTATATTGTGATTATTGACAGGTATATAGTTATTGGCATTTTCAAGTTAATTAATACAATCATAGGAGGGGACTTTAACTTCCCTTTGACATCAATGAATATATCTCCCAGAGAAATAAATCAATATTCCTCACTACAGTATCAGAATATGGAACTATTGTCCAGTTGGGATTCAATTCTAGGAATGATCTGGACCCCATACTATGTCCTATAACAGAACAAATTAATAAAGCCCCTGGTCCAAATGAGTCCCAGTCACAAAATATCAACAGATACATATACATACGAATGCTCCATGGGTATGTCAGAAAGTAGAAGAATATTGAACATCTTGTCTCTGCAATGATTTTTGTCAGTCCTTTGGGTGGCACATGGATAGGAACTGATGTTTACCACCTTGTACACATTCAGCACTGGACACTACCGGAGAAGTAATAAATGTAGGACTTTCATTTCAATCTGTGCTATCCTGCTGTCCCTGAAACTTATAGTGATGGCTTGGAAAACACTCTAGGGACAGCTAATGCCAATGGACATACCTCTGGTCAGGCTGCGAATAAACAAAATAACTTTGCATCCAAAATAATAAAAGTTTTCAACTGCAAAGCTGCCATGATCTCTGGGGTTCCTCTAGAAAGAATGACCAACATTAGGCTACATTCAAGAAAGTGAGACTTGCCGAAACCGGTTTGGCTCAGTGGATAGAGCATCGGCCTGCGGACTCAAGGGTCCTGGGTTCGATTCCAGTCAAGGGCATATACCTGGGTTGCGGGCATATCCCCAGTGGGAGATGTGCAGGAGGCAGCTTATCGATGTTTCTCTCTCATCGATGTTTCTAACTCTCTAGCTCTCTCCCTTCCTCTCTGTAAAAAATCAATAAAATATATTAAAAAAAAAAAAAAGTGAGACTAAAACCTGTTTAACATGGGCTAATCCCACCCCAATAAAGAAGTTACTGATGTAACACTGAGAAATTGTTACGGTTTCCAATGAGTATCAGGACAAGAAAAATCATTCCAATTAAAAGTATACAGATGCTAATTTGTGGTATTCCAAAAGTTCATATTCATATTCAAAACTATAGGTGTCAGCACGAGAACCCAAATGGTGAGCTTACTACTTCGTGAAAATAAAGCAAAATATTCACCAAATTCTACTGTCAGTCATTGCATTAGTGAATTCCAAACAACTGAGCAGAAGCTACACAGGCTTGAGGGGCTGATGTGGACAAGAAGAGCTTTACAGGCTGGGATCATAGCACTGCAAAAAGAATGGCAGCCTAGAAGACAAAGTGAAAAACCAGAGAGAAACAGGAAATAGGAAACATAAGAAATAGAATTAATTTTTCTTAATTCAGCCAGCAGTGCAGCCTGGGAAAGGTGTCGTCTTTCCACATGCAGAGTTCATGCCAATACTGCATTCTGAGTACAACAATGTCACTGGTATTGCAATATTCCTGTTAATTATGGAAAACCTATTACACAGACAGCTCTGTCCTGTGTACTTCCATTTACCTAAACATCAAAACCAAAAATGGATATGCCCTCAGAAAGTTTTCATCCTAACACATTGGCACAGAAAAGGAAGTAACTCTGAAGACATCATTTATAAAACTCAAGAATTGCCCTGACCGGTTTGGCTCAGCAGATAGAGGGTCGGCCTGCGGACTGAAAGGTCCCAGGTTCAATTCCAGTCAAGGACATGTACCTTGGTTGCGGACACATCCCCAGTAGGGGGTGTGCAGGAGGCAGCTGATCGATGTTTCTCTCTTATCGATATTTCTAACTCTATATCCCTCTCCCTTCCTCTCTGTGAGAAAGCAATAAAATATAATTTAAAAAAAACACCTCAAGAATTATTTTAAGAGATTCTTTCAATAGTATAATTCTCTAATAGAAAAAATGTGTGCCTTACAATATATCCAATATTCCATGGAAAAAAGTGCATAAGTAAAGTCCATATCACATACAACAGCTCACAGATCTTTAAGGCAGAAAGAATCAACCTCATGATTTCACACATACACCAGGAATAACACATAGCAGCATCAAGTGATATGGGAGTAGAATCACATGAATATTTCCTTCTCAAAATACTTCAAGTGATTTCAATATAAATGAGATAATACTCTAAGAAATTGTACATATGGAAACATCAATTCTTTTGATATATTCAAGCATACAAAATATTACCTATCTACATTTAAAGTTTGGAGTACACTGTGTAAGAAACATTCTGATTTAGAGCAATACCTGAAAGGTATTTTGGCTACCTATCTAGTGTGAATTCAGTAATATTTTAAAATTCATAATCAATTACATACTCGGATAAGTTTTTACAATTTATTTTTATTTTTTAATATATTTTGATTTTTTTACAGAGAGGAAGGGAGAGGGATAGAGAGTTAGAAACATCGATGAGAGAAACATTGATGAGCTGCCTCCTGCACACTCCCTACTGTGGATGTGCCCGAAACCAAGGTACATGCCCTTGACTGGAATCGAACCTGGGACCCTCGAGTCTGCAGGCTGATGCTCTATCCACTGAGCCAAACCGGTTAGGGCAAGTTTTTACATTTTAAAGTCATCTAAAAGTATAAATTCCTTGGAGATTTGTAAACTGTATATTTTGAACAAAAGTCCTCCCTCCTATATCATAAATGTAGAATTTCTACCCAATTACAATCCCTAATATTGACTGAAACTGTAGGTCCAATTATATGATTTCCCACATTCTTCAGATTCAAGGTTTCCTTCTAGAATGAATTCAAATGTGAGGAATAAACTACGGATGCTGATTAAACATTTAGGACACTGTTTACATTCGTATTGATTCTCACCAGTATGAATTGTGATGTTGGGTAAGGTTTGCCACATTCTTTGTAACTGTTGGGGCTTGTATCCAGTAATAATTATCAGACGTTGTATGACATATAAATGAAGATATACGCTTGGACATATGGCTCATAATGTTTAAAACCTTATTTTATGATTCTCAATGATAAATCATGGCTGAATCTTTGGATGAAAACTTTATATTATTGCTCTTTCTCTTTAGAATGATTCCTAAAATGTTGAGTATGGTAGACCTAAGATTAAAGGCTTTCTCACACTTTTTACAGTGTAAGGCTTTCCTTCAATATAATCGTCTGTTATTCAGTAAATTTTGAACTGTGGGTACAGTCAATGCACATGCTCTACATTTGTAAGGACTCTCTTTTTTAAAAAAAAATATATTATTTTTATTTATTTTTTTTACAGAGAGGAAGGGAGAGGGATAGAGTTAGAAACATCGATGAGAGAGAAACACCGATCAGCTGCCTCCTGCACACCCCCTACTGGAGATGTGCCCGATGTGCCCGTAACCAAGGTGCCCTTGAACGGAATCGAACCTGAGACCTTTCAGTTTGCAGACCGACACTCTATCCACTGAGCCAAACATGTCAGGGCTGTAAGGACTCTCTTTAGTATAAAGTCTCTCAGGTACAGTTAAAGGCTTTTCTACATTTTTCACATTAATAAGGCTTCTTGCCAGTATCAGTTCTGTGATATTCATTAAGTTCTCACAACTGGTCAAGGACTTATGACACTCTTCACATCTGTATGTCTTCTCTGAGGTATGAACTCTGCTGTGCAGTAAGTCAGGAAAACTGATGAAAGGCTGTTATATTTTCTACATCTATAAGGCTTCTCTCCAGAATGAACTCTCTGATGCTTAGCAAGGCCTGAGGAGCTGCCAAAGGAGTTGCCACATTTTCCACATTTACCTGGTACAAGGTTTCATTGCAGCGTGAACACTCTGATGCTTAATAAGGGATGAGGACTGGCTAAAGGCTTTGCCACATTCTCTACATTTATAAGGCTTCTCTCCAGTGTGAACTCTCTGATGATTAATAAGGGATGAGGACTGGCTAAAGGCTTTGCCACATTCTCTACATTTGTAAGGCTTCTCTCCACTGTGAACTCTCAGGTGCTTAGTAAGGTCTGAGAAGCCGGTAAAGGTTTTGCCACATTCTGTACATTCATAAGGCTTCTCTCCAGTGTGAACTCTCTGATGATAAGTAAGGGTTGAGGACTGGCTAAAGGCTTTGCCACATTCTCTACATTTATAAGGTTTCTCTCCAGTGTGAACTCTCTGATGATAAGTAAGTAATGCTATAACACGGAAGGCTTTGCCACATTCTCTACATTTATAAGGTTTCTCTCCAGTGTGAACCCTCTGATGATAAATAAGGGATGAGGACTGGCTAAAGGCTATGCCGCATTCTCTACATTTATAAGGCTTCTCTCCGGTATGAATTCTCTGATGATTGGTAAATGATGTGAACTGGGTGAAAGCTTTGCCACATTCTCCACATTTGTATGGCTTCTCTCCAGTATGAATACGGTTATGTACAGTAAGATATTTACGGCTGGTAAAGGCTTTTCCACATTCTCTACATTTATGAGGCTTCTCTCCAGTATGAATTCTCTGATGTGCAGTAAGGTTTGAGGATCTGCTGAAGGTTTTGTCACATTCGCTACATTTGAAAGGTTTCTCTCCAGTGTGAATTCCCTGATGAAGAAAAAGGGTTAAGCATTGGCTAAAGGCTTTATCACATTCTCTACATTTATACGGCTTCTCTCCAGTATAAACTCTCTGATTTTGATGAAGGGTTGCAGACTCCCTAAATGCTTTGTCACATTCGGTAAATTTATAAGGCTTCTCTCCAGTATGAAATTCCGTCAGTCTATTTAGATTGAGTACTTGACTGAAGATTCCACCACATGAATTACCTGTGTAAGCTTGCTCATCAGCATGAATATTCTCTTGTTCAGTGTTATTTAAAGATTCCTGAAAAGATTTGAGAAGTCTACATCCCTTGTGTGTCTTCTCCACAATATGAAAAACCTGGCCTATAGTCTGATAGGACATTTGGTCAAAGACTTTTCCACTTTTATAATGGTCCTCTGAAAGCTCAATTCTCGGTTGATTATTAAGAGATGACTGTTGCTTAAAGTTTTTCCAATGTTCGTTCCATTGGTAACTTGTGTTTCCATTATATTTATTCTGCTGGTAATGGGAGATAGAAAGTCCTTTAGTGACAGCTCTAAGAAACATGTACACTTGTATAAGAATCATTTTTGTGATACTCAATAAACCATGAAAGTTGTACAAAAAAGTGTTCCCAATGTATTGAAATTATAGACAAAACATAAAAATAAAATTGTTTGGAGACAAATAATGAATCCTTGTTTAAATGATTGCCAAATTGCCTAGCTGGCGGGGCTCAGTGGTTGAGCATTGAGGTATGAAACAACAGATCATGGTTCGTTTCCCCATTAGGGCACATGCCCAGGTTTCAGGCTAGGTCCCAATAGAGGCATGCCGGAGGCAGCCAATCAATGATTGTCTCTCATTATTTTTTTTTAATTATATTTTTATTGATTTCAGAGAGGAATGGTGAGGGAGAAATAGAAACATCAGCGATGAGCGAGAATCATTGATCGGCTACCTTCTGCACATCCCCTATTGGGGATTGAGCCCACAACCCAGGCATATGCATGTGACTGGAATGAAACCTGAGACCCTCCAGTCCACAGGCCAACACTCTATCCACTGAGCCAAACCAGATAGGGCTGTATCTCATTATCATTACTTTTAAAAATATATTTCTTAATTGATTTCAGAGAAGAGGGGAGGAGAGATAGAAACATCAATGAGAGAGAATTATCGATCGGATGCCTCCTGCACGTCCCCTACTGGGGATCAAGCCCGCAACCCAGGTATGTGCCCTTGGCTGGAATCGAACCAGGGACCCCTCAGTCTGCAGGCCCACTGAGCCAAGCCAGCTAGGGCTGCATCTCTTTATTGATGTTTCTCTTTCACCCTCTCCCTTCCTCTCAGAAATCAATAAAAATATATATATTTAAAAGTATTGCCGAAACCGGTTTGGCTCAGTGGATAGAGCGTCGGCCTGCGGACTGAAAGGTCCCAGGTTCGATTCCGGTCAAGGGCATGTACCTGGGTTGCGGGCACATCCCCAGTAGGAGATGTGCAGGAGGCGGCTGATCGATGTTTCTCTCTCATCGATGTTTCTGACTCTCTATCTCTCTCCCTTCCTCTCTGTAAAAAATCAATAAAAAAAAAATATATTTAAAAGTATTAAGATTGACAAATTGAGATTTTACTTTTATAGGAACATTATAAATATCTAAATTTTAGACATGAATGACTGAAAGTTTCATCCCACCCTACATTTTAAACAATTCTAATCATTATTCACAGCAAAGACTGTGTTAGCTCCTAGTTTTCCAGATTTCCTTTCTAAGGATACAGAACAGTAAAAACTTATTTTCAACCATCAGGTGCAGAAACAAACTGATCTGCCAATGTAACTGAGTTTTAAGTGGGAGGTTTCTCAAATGCATAGTACATTTGACTTCTTTAGTTCACAAGAATTGTATTATGAATAATCGTGCCAGGTTAGTTTGGTTTATATTTACATCCCCTCTTTCACATCACATTCTTCCTCAAATTCCAAGGCTTTCATTAAGTGTACATTATCAAAAGCACACCTTTTATATCTTACCAGTATAATTTCAGAGGATAAATATTGAAGTGTGGGCTTTAGCAAAAAGGCCTGGTTATCTTCAGATGCCACAGCTGGAAAAAAAACCAAATTCTTAATTTTGACAATCAGATGAGTGCACTTCAAAATTACCAGCAACTATAGGACAAATGACATTTTGAGTACTCCAAATGCAAGTGAAGGATTCAAAGAAAGCTCAAGATAGATACAATGAGTAAAAGTCCCATTAAAGAGGGACAAAGAGTTGCTTATATCTGCGAATGATACCTGCTCAAACCCACTGACACACAATGGCAATATTATCAAAACACCCCCACCTCCCAGTTTCTTCAGTAGAGAGAGAGATGAGGGAAATGAGTGTTCAATGATCTCTCTGTTATGAAGCATCTTGAAGAACAACTGTCTGTTGTGCATGACACAGAGTGGGAACAGAATGGCAGTACATGATGAGTGTCCTGTAGTAGCCTGTTCAAAAGACTACTTCTGAATCTCAACAAAAGATATCAAGTCATGCCCTGGCTACTTTGGCTCAGTGGAAAGAGCGTCGGCCCGTGGACCGAAGGGTCCCGGGTTCGATTCCAGTCAAGGGCACATGCCCGGGTTGCGGGCTCAATCCCCAGTGGGGGGAGTGCAGGAGGTAGCCAATCAATGATTCTCTCTCATCATTGATGTTTCTATCTCTCTTTCCCTCTCCCTTCCTCTCTGAAATCAATAAAAATATATTTTAAATAAATAAATAATTTTTTAAAAGATATCAAGTCATGCAAAGAAACAGAAAGTATGCCATCAGAAACACAGAATAAATGTAATCAAATGGGCAATACATTAATGGAAATATATTAATTACCTGAAGAAAAATGAAAAAGAAGTACCTCAAAACCAAAAAGTAGAAAAAAAAAGACAACTATATAATATCACCAAAATATTATATAACCAAAATAAAAATACAATGAGAAAGAAAGTATTTTACAAACACCACACAGAAATGGGAAATTGAAAAACATAACACCCAAATTAAATAGTACAGTAGGATCATCAACGAAATACATTATAAACTTGGCCTGGCAGCGGTGGCTCAGTGAATGAGCTTTGACCTATGAAACAAGAGGTCACGGCTTGGTTTTAGGTCAGGGCATAGGCCTAGTTGAAGGCTCAATCCCAATCCTGCAGGAAGCAGGAGATTGAGGATTCTCTCTCTTCATTGATGTTTCTATCTCTCCATGTACTTTCCTCTCTGAAATCAATACAGACTATTTAAAAAATAAAAAATCAAGGAATCTGTACATAATTCATTAAAAATTTTGATTCAGGGAAAGTAGCAAATATGTGAAAATATGAAGGGAACATAAGGGACTCCTAAGGTTCTAACCTAAGGAACCTAAGGGACTCCTAAGACACTAACAAATCAACCTACAAGGGGACTCCATAAAGAGAGAATAGTGAAAAGGATTACGTAGCTTATATAAAAAATTAACAGTTGAAGGTCAGGACAATTAGAGAAAGAGACATTCAAATACAAGCAGCTCAGTGAATTATAAGTAGAATAGAATATAAACATGAGAACAGGTAAAAAAAACCAAAAACCAAACATGAAAATATCATGAATCCCAGAATACAATCCTAAAAGCATATGAAAAAATAACTTCTCAAAAAATATATTTTTTAAACGAATAAATAAAAGGAATAAAATCTTAAATCTCTGCTAGAAGACACACAATGTAAAAGATAATGTGATATCAATAACTTCAGTGGGTACAGTGGTAGAGATGGCAAGTAGCACAGTTTTGTATGCAACTAACATACTGAGTTTAAAATATATTGTTATAGCCTTAAAATATTTTAAGTAACTCCCATGACCACAACAAAAATAGAAAATAATAAAATGATCTCTGTTAATAGGTAACAGAATTGTGTGCTGTAAATCACAGACTACATATTTCTAAAAATATATATAAATCTAATGAATTTCTCCAAATGTGGTATATAAAGCCAACCCACAAAGTTAGCTGTGTTCTGGTACCGTAACAGAAATTAGTACAAAATAACAAATTAAGTGTGCGATTACATGAATAATAGCATAAAGAGAAATGAAATAATAGTTTACTTTATGTAAAAGGTGCACGATTTGCCGAAACCGGTTTGGCTCAGTGGATAGAGCATCTGCCTGCGGACTGAAAGGTCCCAGGTTCGATTCCGGTCAAGGGCATGTACCTGGGTTGCGGGCACATCCCCAGTAGGAGATGTGCGGGAGGCAGCTGATCGATGTTTCTCTCTCATCGTTGTTTCTAACTCTCTATCTCTCTACCTTCCTCTCTGTAAAAAATCAATAAAATATATTTTTTTTAAAAAAGGTGCACGATTTGTATGCTGTAAAGTATAAAATACTGCTGGCTGCCATCTTACTTCTAGGTACATATCGAAAAATATTCACAGAGGATCTGCAAGAGACATTTACACATTGTCCATTACAATGCTATTCAGAAAAGCACGCATTAGATGGAAGTAACTCAAATGTCCATGGATAGTTGAATGAATGAGTAAAATTTACCCTATATATATAATGCAATACTATCCTGTCAAAAAATAAAAAGTTATTATCACCTGATACCACAAAGAGAAACATGGATGACACTTTTTCACTAAAGCACACAAGTCACAGAGAGACAGATAGTACATGATTTCCCTCAGGTGAGTAATCTAATGTAATCTATGTTAAAAAAAAAAAAAGTAGTTACAAGCAAGCCTTCCTTGTAAAGCAAATGAGGAAGTAGTGGTTTAATACATGAGAGATTCTGCAAGATGGAAGTTTTGAGAGATTAGGTACACAACACAGAGAGTAAGAATCTACCCTAGAAAGCAGAAGCCCCCTAAAGATATCCTACATAATAAAAGCCTAATATGCTAATGATATGCTAAGGCAGCTCAACTGCTCCCTATGATGAGCACTGACCACCAGGGGCAGAAAGTCAACCAGTCGTTATGATGTGCACAGACCACCAGGGGGCAGATGCTCCAACTGGTAGGTTACCTTGCTGTTGGGGTTCCACTGATTAGAACTGAGTGAGACAGGCAGACACACCCTGGAGCACTCCCCCAGTCCCTCCCGGCTAGTCAACCTCCCACGTCTTTCACTGGCCCCATTCATGCACCAGTTGGGTCCCTAGGCGAGCCTGTGCCATCTTGCAATACGGGATCTCTTGAGGGATGTCAGAGAGCCGGTTTTGGCCCGATCATGCCAGGCCGAGGGACCCCACTGGTGTATGAATTTGTGCACCAGGCCTCTAGTTAAAATAATAAAAGGAATAAAACCCCTGCATAGGAAATCAGGAAAGAAGTCATCCTCACCCAGGGAGGCCAGGTTGCTGCAATTCTCCACCATCACATCCAGGTACAATTTCCGCTGAGCTGGGTCCAGGCATTCCCACTCCTCCTGAGAGAAATCTATGGCCACATCCTTGAAGGTCAGCGGTCCCTGAAAGAAAAGACACATTTATATAGAGGTCACCAGAAGAGTTCATAATGTCACCCAACATGAAAACAGTGTTAGGAGAAGAGGTTTGGACCTAGGGGTGTATCTTGAATCATCCAATAAAATTCTCTGATGTGTTTTCGAACACTGACAAATGAGGATGACACATGTCAACAATCCATGGTATAGATTTCACTTTTCAGGAAGATAAACTTTAGAATGAGGGTGTGGACACAGGAATATGGATTTCTGAGTGCTGTGTTTGCGTCATTAAGGGTCAGTGGTGTATATTTCTCAGCGGAAAATGTCAAGATGAGTCTAAATTTAAGCACTTCTTCAAGTGTAACAAAGAAAAAGACTGCACTTTTCGGAAAATACAAATGCTGATTCATGTTCTGAGATGAGGTCTCTGTTTCCACTTGTGTAATAAGCTCACTTTTTCCTTGTGATACCAATGTTACCAGATCACGTACCGTATGTGTGAATACACAGAAAATGAAAACACAGGAAAAATTCATACATAACTTTGATCTCAAGGGATTTGTTAATGGAATTTATAGTTCTCATAGAATAGGACATATAGAAGCCACAATCCTATTTGAAAATTTACTACGGGTATTCTTAGAACAATATCATCTGTCTGGTCCAGTGGGTGTGCCTCAGTGGTTGAGCATTGACCCATTAACCAAGAGGTCACTGGTCAGGACACATGCCCAGGTTGCCAGATAGATTCCAATGTGGGGCATGCAGAAAGCAGCCATTCAATGATTCTCTCATCATTCATGTTACTATGTCTGTCTGTCTCTCTCTCTCTCTCTCTCTTTGCAATCAATAAAAATATACTTCAAGAATGAGAGAGGGAAATATAGCAACTGCTGACATTGACTATCAAAAGAAAATAGGAAAGAAATAAGGAAAGGGAAACAACCTAGCAAGGCAAAACATCAAAAGTAGAGAAATAAATCCAAAGATATTAGTGGAAAAGCAAATATAGCCTCTGACCCAGGACACATCTTTTACCTGAGAAGCAGCCATGTGGTCCCAGCTACTGATCCTGGTCCTGGGATGTTTTCTCAGGTGACAATATGTTGAGGAGTCACAGAATGTGCCTTCAAAGGCGTCCCCACAGCCTGTTAATCAGCTCCCCTCACACCCACAGTGAGAAGAACCTGCAAATGAAGGACAGGCCACCTCATCCTGCATTTGTCACAGGAGACTCAGGAACAGTGAGCTCCTATATGTGAAATGTTTTATTCTGTCTTCAAGTGTCTGTCCTTCCAAAGACTTGCACAAATTCCTACAGCAATGACAGCATGTGCTGATTTTCTGAAACACCAAACGCAACATAGCACCCCCTTCTTCCCCCCAAAAGAGCCTGCACTGAGGCCCATGCTATGCCATCTTTAACCAGTTCACTCCTGAGGCCTCTGAAGCTCCCCCAGAGCTGATTTCAGTAACACATCAGTCCCAGCACACCTGAGACCTGTGGATAGTATAATGGTGTCACAGCACAGCTGCTCTGAGTCCATATATTCTTCTGAATTCTACTTGACTATGCCATGTATCAGAGTAGGACACATGCGCAGGAGTGCTTAGTCCTAAATCCTGCCCATAGTGCTAATTGTGAGAGCAAGTTCCACCTTGAACCCTGCTCACTGCACCAACTGTTGCGAACTTAGTCTAAGTTCCTCCTTTACCTTCAGCCCAACTACCCCAACTGTGGGGTCCTTGTTTCTCTGCCAGGGACTGGACTACTTGAACGTGAAATAGTAGAAGGAGAAGCCATGAGAAGATGTGGGTACATATATATATTTTTTTAAATATATTTTATTGATTTTTTACAGAGAGGAAGGGAGAGAGATAGAGAGTTAGAAACATCGATGAGAGAGAAACATCGATCAGCTGCCTCCTGCACATCTCCTACTGGGGATGTGCCCGCAACCCAGGTACATGCCCTTGACCAGAATCGAACCTGGGACCTTTTAGTCCGCAGGCCGACGCTCTATCCACTGAGCCAAAACCGGTTAGGCAAGATGTGGGTATATAAGAGAGTCTTTACTGTAGAAGCTAGAAGCTAGTGGCCCTAAAGCACTGCTAACAATGAGCCATCAGACAAAACAGCTCTTCACAACAGTCCTATACAGGCAGCCGCACACCTGCTGCCAAACAAATACATCTTTCCCACAAAGTAGCAGAAGCCTCTGTACCCACAGCCTGAAGCAGCAGCAGTATCCTCTGTGCCTTCATCTATCATCTGAGCAGCCGCATGCTGCCTGTGTACTCACAGTCTCACATAGTAGCGGCACCTGAGCTCCCTGCATCTCCCCAGGCTCTTTAGCACCCAGGCTTCACAAGGTAGTTATATCTGAGCTCTCCACAAGCTCATAGCCTCACATCATAGAAGTACCAGCTCTCAGCTTCATCTGAGGTCTCTAACCTTACTAATATACTTTAAAACTACTTATACAAAAGAGGCTTCCTGCCAACAGTGACATCAATCCTTTGGGTTATAGAAGGGCACAGTGTAGATTGCAGTGGCCTTTTATCTGTGTACAGTCCTTGCTCACCCTGATTAAGATTCCCATGCTCAGAGTGTCCTTAGCTATCTGACATATTACAGATGAGTCCACCACTCTAATTGCCCTTGACGACATGGTATTACTGGCATGGTTCCCACAGATGATTTGAAGCAAGAAGTTTTACCAGTGCAGGTTCCCAGGTAGATTTCCTTCTTCTTATCCCAGGAAATTACAGAGAATGTAGATCTTAACACTAAAGTCTTTGGGAAAGGTTAGATATTCAAATATGCTGATCAAGTGAATTCACCATGAACAGATGGTCTCTGTGGGAATTAAATTTCAGGTCAGCCCTCACTGATTTTGGCTCAGTGGATAGAGCATCAGCCTGCAGACTGAAGGGTCCCAGGTTTGATTCCGGTCAAGGGCATGTACTTTGGTTGCGGGCACATCCCCAGCAGGGGGTGTGCAGGAGGCAGCTGATCGATGTTTGTAATTCTCTATCCCTCTCCCTTCCTCTCTGTAAAAAAATCAATCAAATATATTAAAAAAAATTTTTTTTCAGGTCAATCCAGTCCATCCTTCAACATTTTCTGAGAATGGAAAAGAGACTTGAGGGGAGCAGCTCCTTTGCGGCTCAGTCACTAAAACAACAAATCACATAAAGGGAAGGAAGCAGCTGCTCACAGAACTAGGCTCTGACTGGTAAGATCATGGGCATCCTTACCAGTGCCCGCTGACATAGCCTCATATTACTACGTGCCAATGACTGTTTGAGACATGATAAGTAGTAGAAACGATACAGGGGTTAGAATGTGAACGACCAACAATATATTTAAAACTAAAAACATCACACGTGTAATATTTGTACTTATCAATTTAATATGTGATACGTCCTCTATCCAAGGACATTATATAAATGTATTTTTGGAGCAGGGATATGGAACAGGAGCTTGCTCTGTCCACTCCACGCATCAAGGTGGTGTTGCAGTACCTTTGGAACGGTGCAAGAAGAAAAACAAACAAAACCCACAAAAACAAATAGGGTGGTTATTTGTTAATGTAATGATATCTAGGTTTAAAGATGTAAAAAGGTGGAAATTACCTTATATGAAGAAAAGAGTAAGAGATGCTTCTGAGTCCTGGCTGGTTTGGCTCATTGGATAGAGCGTCAGCCTGTGGACTGAAGGGTCCCGGGTTCGGTTCAGCTCAAGGACACATGCACAGGTTTCTGGCTGGATCCCCAGTGGGGGGCGTGCAGCAGGCAGCCGATTAGTGGTTCTCTTTTATCATAATGTTTCTCTCTCTCTCTCCCTCCCCCTCCCTCTCTGAAAAAAAATATATACAAAAACATAAAAGAAGAGCTGCTTCTGAGATGTCACCAATGCTTATTTCAGCAGTTAATGAATATTTACATGAATGAAATGTCAGAGATAAGAAATGCAAATCCATTGCGGAGAAAAAAATATTGATGTTTCTAATACTCCTTGATAAACCATCCTGTGGGAACAGGCTCAATCATTCCTTGTCCCAGGTCACCTCCTTCTTGCCATCCCAGCAAATGACAAGGGGCCCATCAGGAACATACCAGTTTCTACCTCCGTGTGAATAAGGTTTGCAAATGGAAGCAAATAAGTATACATTTGGCAAACCTTGTAAACTGGAGATTTATAATCTTCAGTCAAATCTGTTTAAATAATTCAGTTGTTAAATTAACCATATCAACACACAAGCCAATATATCATAACTTAGTCATCCACATCCCATCAGCTCATCTCTCATTCAAATGAGGGTTCCCCTCCTCCCACTAGAATGTATATTTATGTCTATAATTCTGTCTCTGTCTCCTGCTCCCTTTCTCTCCACTGTGGTCCTTTCCTGTGTCCCCCTCTCCCCTGCTCTCTCTCCCCTTTTCTCTCTGTCGGTCCTACACCTGGACCATGAAACTCCTGAAACCTCCTTCCCTTCAGGGGCTCTTTCTCCTGGTCTCTGAGGCTCCATCTCCACACACGTCTGCGTCTCCCCCTCCCCACGCCCGCGGCCCCTCTGCTGCCTGTTCCCGTCTGTCCCGCTCCCACAGCTGCTGACTCAGGGCTGCTCCCTCTGCTCCCTCATCCCTGAGCCCCCCTTTCTGTCCTGCACTCGCTCCCCAACTCTCCTCTGAACCCGTGTCTCTGTCTCAAGTGCCTCCTCTTGTGCGGCCCCCACTTCTGCTCCCCAGGACCCGCTCCCTCTCAGCCCCCCTTCCTCTCTCTGGGCTCCCCCTCCTCCCTGTGTCTCCACTTCCTTCCTCCTCAGGCTACTTTCCCGAGTGACCCCCTCACTCCTACGGTCGCCGTCCAGCCCCCCCCACACCCCCCATGGGCCCCTCTCTGTGGACCCCTCGCTGCCCTTCCTCCCGCCCACGTGTCTGTCTCTCTCTCCCTCTCCCGACCCCCCAGCCTGGGCCCCGCCCCCCGCAGTCACCGCGCCCACAAAGC